AACATACTTTGGGGCAGCTACAAAGGTGGCATACTTGGAGAACCGATCCACAATAGTCAAGATAGTTTCGATGTCTACCATTTTAGGCAGTCTAGTGATGAAGTCAAGTGATACTCTTTCCAATGAACGTTTAGGCACAGGCAAAGGTTCAAGCAAGCCTACTTTCTTCTTATGCTCAACTTTGTTTTGCTGGCAAGTGAGACAAATGCAGACATATTCTTCCACATTATCACGCATCTGGGGCCAATAATATCCTTGCTTCACCAAGGCCAATGTTCGCTCCCAACCCGAATGTCCTGCCCAAAGTGTTTCATGGCACTCCCTAAGAAGTGTCTTTCTCAAATCACCAGCCCTGGGTACAAAGATACAGTTGCCTATTGTCATTAGTAGTCCATCTTGCACCCAAAATTGGCGAGTCTTTCCCATTTTGACAAGGTTCATAAGATTCTCTGCCATAGGATCCTTGTCTAGATAAGCCTTGATTTTCTCCTTGATGCTGGTTGAAATGGAAATGAGTGAACATACATGATAGCACACGGCAAGCTCTGCCTTCCTACTTAGTGTATCAGAAACATGGTTGGTGCCACCAATCTTGTATTCTAAGGCAAAATCAAACTCTGTCAACTTCTCTTGCCACCGTGCTTGTTGTGCGCTTAGCTTGGGTTGTGTTAAGAAATGGCCAACCGCCGTGTTGTCAGTCTTTATAACAACCGTGAGCCCAAGATGTAGTGCCTCCAAGTCCTCAGACAATGCACTACTGCAAGCAACTCTTTCTCATAAGTTGGATATCTCCGTTCGGCATCATTGAGCTTCCTACTCTCATGGGCAATTGGATGACCATCCTGCAAAAGAACACCACCCAAAGCAAAATCAAACGCATTAGTTTGTATCTCAAAAGCTTTACCTAAGTCAGGTAGAGCAAGAACAGGGTCTTTAGACATAGCTTTTTTCAAGGCTTAAAAGGCTTGTTGACACTCTTCCACCCAAACATATGGCTTGTTCTTCTTTAGTAACTTTGTCAATAGGGAAGCTAGTCTTGAGTAGCCTTCAACAAACTTGTGATAATAATTAGCCAACCCAAGGAATGACCGCAACTCTGAGACATTAGCAGGTGGTTTCCACTCTTGAATAGCCTTGACCTTCTCTTGGTCCATTTTGATGCATCCATGCTCAACAATGTACCCTAGGAACTTAATCCTCTCTTGGACAAAAGAACACTTCTCTAGCTTAACATAGAGCTTGTGCTCTCTCAACTTGGATAGTGCTTTCTTGAGATGTTTCACGTGCCCTTCTAAAGTAGAGCTATAAATCACAATGTTATCCATGTATACTACCACTAATTGGTCTAAGTACTTTTGAAAAACTTCATTCATCATGGTGCAAAATGTTGCTGGGGCATTGGTCAAGCCAAATGGCATGACTAAGAACTTATAAGAGCCATAGCGAGTAACACATGTAGTTTTGGGCTCGTCTCCCTCATCAATTCTTACTTGATAGTACCCCGATCGAAGATCTAACTTTGTAAAATACGTCACTTTGCTCAATTGATCAAATGAATCAGCAATTAGGGGAAGGGGATACTTGTTCTTAATGGTCAGCTTATTGAGTGCCCGATAATCCACACATAAGTGAAGACTACCATCATGCTTCTTTTGGAATAAGACAGGTGCACCAAATAGGGCCTTGGATGGCCTAATGAAGCCTGCTTCCAATAACTCTGTAAGTTGCTTCCTTAATTCATTCAACTCAGGAATAGGCATTCTATATGGTGCACAAGCTAGTGGCTTTGCCCCTGGCACCAACTCAATAGCATGATCCATACCTCAGCGTTGAGGCAAATCCTTAGACAACTGTTCAGGCATAACATCTACAAATTGCCTTAAGACCTTCTTGATTGCAGCTGGGACAGAAATAGATTCAAGAGCTTCATTCAACTTCAATGCGGCAACCCAAGTTTGTTCACCATGCCTAATATCCCTCTTGAGTTGTATAGCTGAGACAAACCGATTACTATTGTTGGTGGCCGTAGTAGGAATAAGACATGGCTTATCCCCCATAACACACATACTATTAGAATAAGGCATGACTGCCGACTTTGTGCTTCTCAAGAAATCCAACCCAAGGATGGCTTGGAAGTCATCTATGGGTACTGCGGTGAAATCTACTTTTCCTTCCTAAGTGCTGACCTTCAAATGAACAGATTTTGCAACCCCATAGATGGGTTGCACCACCGAGTTAACCGCCTTGATACGACTGTCATCCTTCTCTAAAAATAGCCCAAATCTTTCAACTTCGGTCCTTGTAACAAAGTTGTGGGTGGCCCTTGTGTCAATCAAAGCACGAATGGACTTCCTATTGAGTTTTATATCCACAAATATCAAACCTTTGTTGGATGACTTGCTCTTATTCAACTTGCCTGATGATTCCCCACTATACATGGGTTTCTTCCCTTTGTCTACATCTTTAGACTCCACAAGTTATTTCCCACTTTGCCACTCTTGGCATTCTTCTTAGGCCTCCTTATAAAAGCCTTCTTCTCTATGGCATTCATCATATGAAAGGCTCCCACTCTAGACCCTTAAAACCCTTACCACTTCGCCTAGACTGCACATCTTCTTCCTCGCTATCATCGTCACTTGGTTGAGAGACATGGTTAGTCATCGCTGCTAAAGCATTCAAGACATGCTTTTGTGGACATTCAGATAACCGATGTGGCCCATTGCATAAGAAACAAGAGATAGGGCCCTTTGCTTTGCTTGTAGAGAACTGTTGAGGGGCTTTTGCCTTGTCACCATAGCTCTTCTGTTACCCGAATGGGTTTTAGATGTAGAAGTGTTGGCTCCCCCACTCTTAGGTTTGCCATAGCCTTAAGACTTTCCACCTCCCCTACTTTTGTGTGGGGAACCACTATCCCATTGTTTAGGTTCGGCGTAGTCCGTAAGACACTCAGCTGCTGCTTGTGCATGGGCTAAATCTTGCACTCTTTGCCTTTGAAGTTCAACTCTAGCCCATGGCTTCAATCCCTTAAGAAAGAAGAAAAGCTTGTCTTTCTCTAACATGTCTTTGATGTCTCGCATAAGCCTAGAGAATTGTTTCACATAATCTCTTATAGTGCCGGTGTGCTTGAGATCCCGCAAAGCACGCCGGTCATTATACTCAACATTTTCAAGGAAGAATTAGAGCTTAAGTTCATGCTTAAGTTGCTCCCAAGTCTCAATTGTGCATAAGTCGCGTTGCATCTCATCATGTTTAGTTCGCCACCACAACTTGGCATCACCGGAAAAATATATTGTGGCTATAGAAATCCTTGTCTCCTCAGCTTCAGCTTTCACAACTTTGAAATATTGCCCCATGTTGAAGAGAAAGTTGTCTAACTCCTTGGCATCTTGGGCTCCACCGTAGGCACGGACTCGGGCACACGCACCCTAGGGAATTCCATGCCACTACCAGGTGCGTTGCCAAAGGCACAAATAAGAACACCAACCCGGCCACTAAGGTCTTCAATCTCTAGCTTGAGTTCAGTGACAACATCCTCCCAATCTTGCCCTTGAGTGAGGCCATAAGTTTGTTCAAGATCATGAACTTGTTGCTCAAGGTTGGCCTATGAAGCTGCCAAGGCATTCATATTGTCCATACGCTGCTCTAAGAGCTCAATTCTCTCCCTTTGCATGGGTTGACGGTTGCCAAAGTATCCATTTAGAAAGCCAATAATAGAAAAAGCCAAATAGACTGGGCTCTAATACCAACTGTCGCACACCAGCAATGCGAAAACCTTGTCAAAGATATGCAAGTGTGTGTGGCGCTAGTTAACTCTGTTCACTAGCCTGCTAATAAAGCTTAAAAGGTTTGCAAAGACAAGCAAACACAATATTAGTTAAGTTGATGAGCCACAAGATTGGAGACAAGCCACAAAATAACAAGCAACAAGCTAAAATTAAAGCAAGTAACAATGGAAAAGATTTGCACAATTTAAAGGCGAAATGAACTTTTCATTGATCAAAAGTAGGCATTACAATAGTTGAACAATGCACCAAAAGTGCTACAAAAGGTGTCTTACCATTGGCTAGGTTGGGGTACTTTAAACGCACAAGTGGTTTGGTTCAACACTGGGATACCCCCTCCCTAATATAGCTTGTCAAGCCATTTCCTAGTTGGCAAGAGGAAACATCCACTATATTTGAGGAGTCATAATGGATTTTTAAAAAAATTTACAAAAAGAGAAAAAGTACAATACTGGACCCAAAACACCTTTAATACTAAGGTATTTACATAAAAAATTACAAAACAAAAAGACAACATTTGACCCTCCAAAAGTTGGCCTAAAGTTGCTGTTGGGCAGGCAAGTCTGTGGCCTGTTGTGGCTGGGCTGCTTCATGGCATGCCTTGGGTTGTCTTGCACTATGCCTTGGGCCTTGACTTGCACTTGCACCTGCACCTGCACCAACAACTTCTTAGACATGTTTTTAACTCTCCAAATGGCACAAATAAGTGTGACATCAAGGTGTTGACTCTTGGATAAACGCACCTTGACACAAGGCCAAGGGGATACTACCAAGTCTATTGCTTCCAAATGAAAGCTTTGATTTGAAGAAACAAAAGGACCCAAGAACACAATACTATACTATGTACAATAATGGTGCAAATGTATAATATATATTTTGACTGTATTGTTTATTCATTCATTATTTTATCATGGATTTTTTTTCCATAGAGAAGTAAATAAAATTGAACCCCACGTAAAAGGAATACAACACTTCTAACACTGTAATCTGTGAATTTGTACAAATAGAATCCTGCGTAAATATTGCTCTCCTGGTTTATTAATGTCAAATTTCCCCCCCCCCCCTCCTCCCCCCTCCCCCTCGCATCTCCTTGCATCCGGAATCTGACCCACATACCCGCCCCTCCCGCCGACAACTTCTGCAATCTGACCCACAGATAAGCTCAGCTCAGATCACTTTCCCAACCCCCACCCCCACACACTCCCACATTTTTGAAACTCTTGCGATTGAGAGACCTTCTCATTTCTCTTCTCTTTCTCATTCACTCACTCACTTACTCACTCAACCATCCCCACCGAAGATGGCTTGTTTGTTACAATCTCATAACCACTCGCTTCATCTTCATCATCATCTTCGTCTCCATCATCATCATCGTCATTGTTTTGATCAATATTTTCGCTATCGCGATCTTCCTCGGGCCGGTGTTGTTGTTCTTGTTGAAGTGGCCATTGTTGTTCTGGTTGAACCATTATTGGCACCATTGGATTTTCAGGCTTTATACCAGCAAACCCACCACCAGGATTGAAACAATTCGTACTATTATCAATCTTTGCTTTCTCTTTGTATAGAGCATCAAGCTGGTGAAAATATGGACAAGTCTTTGAGTCCTCGGGTCTCTTCTTGTTGCTCTCTTTTACCTTCTTGAAGTACTTGTTTATGTTCTCCCATTTCTCTTTGCATCTCTTTGGGTTCCTGTTGTATCCGATTTTGCACATTGCATTTGATATTTCTTCCCACAGAGGCCCTTTGGGTCCGTTTTCTTGGTACTTGAGATCCAGATTTGTCCGAAGACTAATCAAAGCTTCAACTTCTGCTTTTGGCCATCTAGAAGAGCTCGGCGAGGCTAAATTCTCACCTCCATTATCAGTTTTGGGATTAACAAGACTTTTTGCAGACGATTGTATTGGTGGTTGTAGTTGGAGTGGCGGCTGTGGTGTTGGTTGTACTATTGGTGGAGGTGGTTGTACTGCTGCTGGTTGTTGTGGTTGTGGTTGTGGTGGTGGTTGTTGTACTGCTGCTGCTGGTGGTGGGATGGGATTTTCTTGGGTGTGTACTTGCATCTGCATTTGAATTTGGGGCACATTCGGGATTTGTTGTTCAGACACTTTCTGCAAGAATGCAATCACAGCAGCTTCTTTCGCAGCCGCAATGGATCTTTCTTGGACTAAAAGATCATGCTCTCTATTCATTCTAGCCATTTCTTGTACCTTCCAAGCCTCTTCTCTCGCCAATCGATCTCGTTCGCGGCTTTCCAATGTCTCCAGAAATTGCTTCTGCATCTCCTCTTGCTTCTCAATCACCTCCTGCATTAGCCTCTGGAAAAAGCTCTCCCATTTCCTCTTCCTCTTGCCCCGCCTCTCGGGCTCTTCGTCTGATGAAGTTGAAGAAGACGACGAAATAGATGCAAAACTTGAAGACATATTCGGATGAGACGATGGAATTGGAGTACTTTGAGAAAGATTTATAGGGTTTGGAATTGTGGTGGTTGTTGCGGGCACCGGCTGTGGTGGTGGTGGTGGTGGAAATGGGTTTGATGGAAAAGGATTTGTAGGGTTTATATTGAGTGATACACTAATAGGGTTTGCTGTTGATGGAACAGTGACTTGTGAGACGATTGGAAGATTAGCACTCGCCGGCATTGCCATTGACATTGGCATTGCGACCGCCACCGGATTCGGTGATTTAATACAAATTGATAGATTCATATAATAATAAAGGACTCATCCCATATCTTCAACCCAATAAATGCACATCTCTCTATATATGTTTTGTGAACATATGTTTATAATGAAACTGCAATGACCATAAAGTGGACTTAGTTTTAATGGACCATGTGAATTTTCTGTTTTTGTGTGCATTTTCCAATGGAAAGACTACACATCTTAATGATTTGTACTAGAGGATATTGTCCGGGCAAGTAGGGAAATTCTATAGTACATTTTATTCAAAAATATGTATGGTATAAAGAAAATGAAGTGCTAAGATTGAGTCATATCATTAAAACTGACCTGGTAAACAGGTCACTCTTTATAGTTATGAACCAAAATCATATTTGTTCATAACTAAAATCAAATT